ATCAAGTTGTATTTGTGCCAGGAATTCAAGGATGGTTCAACATTAAGGAAACCAATAATATAATTAATCCTATTTTAGCCATAAGAACTAATAGGGAATATTATTAAATGGTATTTCTTGAGTAAGATAGTAACATGGACTTTCTTTGGAAACACCAATTTAGCTACTGTGTGGAGGATAGATCAGACAAGGAGAGGCTTAGATGCAGGGGGGCCGTTGAGACTGATGGGAGATACCATGAAGGGTGAATTGACAAGACTTGGTAACTGACTAGATGGGAAAGGGAAGAGACGAGGATCACTTTCAAGTTGTGGCCCCAGGTGACTGGAAGAGCAGTAAGCCTTAGAAACAAAAACGAGTTAGGAAGAAGATCCTGTGAAGGTGAAAAGAGTTTGCTTTGGGGCTTCTTGTGTCTGAGTTGACCAAAAAAAATTAAGGGGGCATGTCTAGCAGACAGGTGAAGACTGAGTGCTGTGTTCAGTGCTGGAGGCCCTGTTTAACATTGTTATGATTGCCATCTTTTGTTTTGATAACACCTTCATTTGATCGGCAGCATGGTGTAGAGGATTGGACGTGGAGTCTGGAAGACCTGGGCTCAAAGTCTGCTTCAGAGACTTGCCAACTCCATGACCAGGGGAAGTCAATTAACTTCTGTTCTTTAGCTGTTTTCACATTGGTAAAACAGGAAGTTTGGATTCCATGGCATCTAAACTCTAAATCTATGAGCCTATGGTGGAGTACAAAAATCTTGGGTCAGCATTATAGATGAATAATGAGCTGGGCCCAGAGCCATGCCTAGGTTGTTTCTGGCCTGATGTCAGGGGTCCCTAAGGAGTATAGAATTCAGCATCCCAAGGCAGCATGGGGCATGCAATAAATTGGAGTGTGTGGCCCTCCCACCTGAGCATTTTTTTGTATAGCTAAAAACAAGGTAAAATGGAATGGCCTAAAAAGTAGTCTTAGGAGTAGTAAAAGAGCAACAGCCTCAGGGAAGTTCACGGAAGCCTGGGAAAAGATGAGGAAAGAGTAGGGAAGTTTTGGTATAGAGGTAGGTGGTGGACTGTGGTTACAGAATGGGTCAGACATGCTGATTTATCAATTTGATTTGCTTAATTATTTCTTTCCGTTACAAGGGAGGGTTCTTTGGGAGAGGTATTGGGAAGGGGAGTAAAGGAAGTATCAATGAAATATTTTTAAAAGAAATAATAATAATAGCTAACATTTAAGTCGTGCTTACTGTGTGCCACGTACTGTGCTAAGTGCTTTACACTTTACAATTATCATCTCTTTTGATCCTCACAGCAACCCTCAGAGGTGGGTGCTATTGTTATCCCCATTTTTCAGATGAGGAAAATAAGGCAAATAACAGTTAAGTGACTTGCCCAGGGTCACATAGCTAGTAAGTGTCTGAAGGGGGATTTGAACTCAGGTCTTCCTGACTACAATGAGCATCAGTGATTTTTTTTTAAAGAAAGACAAGAGAAAAGAATAGAGGAGTAAAATCAGGAAAGGAAGAAAGTAATGAGTCAGGGGAAAAAAGAATAAGATAGAATGGGAATCAAGCGTTCTTGAAAGGCTATATAATGGGTAGAGTGCTTGGCTTGGAGATGGGAAGACCCGAGTTTGAGTCCTGCCTCAGACACTGTGACCCAGTCACTTCTCCTATTTCAGTCTCAGTCTCCCCTTCTGTAAAATGAGAGGATTGGTCTACGTCAGAGGTTCTGAACCTGGTGTCTGAGAACTTGTTTTCAAAATTATTTAAATAGCTGTATTTTAATGTAAGTGTTTTCCTTTGTAATCTTACATATTCTATGTTATGTATTTTAAAAAACACTATTCTGAGAAGGGATCCGTAAGCTTTACTAGACTGCCCAGGGGTCCAGGGCTCACACATAAAAGGTTAAGAACTCCAACTAGAAGGTCTTGAAGACTTCTTTCAGCTCTAAATCTATGATCCTAGGGAACTTCTGCATCAGAAGACTTTTCTCTTCCCACATCCCCCCCCTAAATAATTTCATTTTGGTTCTTATTAAGGTATAGAGATGATCTCCCCTTCCTTGAGATTCCCTGGTTTCATTTGCCTGCCCCACCCTACCTAGTGAGGCATAGAGAGAATAAGACTAGATTTGAAATTCAAGGATCTGAGTTTAAATCTCAGGTCTGAGATTACCCTCCTTGGGGCTGCCTGATTCATCCACTTGGTTTTTCCCATGTGGATTACTGGGCCAATGTCCTTTGAGTCATCATGGATGCCATTGAGGAGTGTGACCTTCGGCAAGCATTTTCATTGCCATGGTTCTCTGTTTCTTCATGTCAGGGGGTGCTCTCTAGGAACCCTTCCAGCTCTAAATCTGTTACCCATGTTGGGATCACTAATCTCAATCCGTGGAGAATCTAGACCCTGCTACAAGCAAAAGAGAGGTGCCATGATGATATCATGGAAAGAGCAATGGATCTAAAGTGAGAAGGCTAGGGCTTGAATTCCAGCTCTGCCACTTACTACCCACAGGGTCTGGGCAAATCACTTCCATGCAGTGGGCCTCAGTTTCCTCCTTTGTCAAATGAGGAGGTTAAATTAGATGACCTCTGGAATTCCTTCCAGTGCTCAGTCTATGAACCTGGGACAGAACATTGCTCTAGGAATCATTTGCTAGCTGTGAGACCTTGGGTAAGTCATTTCTCTGGGCCTTAGTTTCATATAAAATGAGAGGGCTGAATTAGATGATGATGATATAACATTTATGTAATATAACCATGTAATAATATAAGGGGCAACTAGGTAGTGCAGTAAATAGAGTTCTAGGCCTGGAGTCAAGAAGACCTAGGTTCAGATTTGATCTGAGACACTTAGGCAAGTCTCTTTACTCTGTTTGCCTCAGTTTCCTCATCTGTAAAATGAGCTGGAGAAGGAAATTGCGAAGAAAACCCCAAATGGGGTCATGAAGAGTCAGACATGACTGAAAAATGACTGGACAGCAACAATATAATAACTTATATAATATAAATTATGTAATATAATTTGTGTAACATAATTATATAATTATTTAATATAATGGTAATTGCATTATTTAATTTATGTATGATGATAATTATGTAATATAATAATATAATGACAATTACATAGTGCTTTAAACATTTTATGTTACCTCCTTTGCTCCTCACAACATCCCTTTGAAGGAAGTGCTAATATTATCCTCATTTTACAGATGAGGAAACTGAGAGCAAGAGACAGCAAGTGGCCGAGCTAAGGTCACACAGCTAACGAGGGAAGACTTGAGTTCCTCCAGCCTCCAGGTTTCCCAGGGCTCCCAGATGCCTCTGACGGCCCTTGGGGCTGTGACCCTGTGAAGTTCTCAGCCCATCCATTCCCCGTCCCTCTAGAAGCTGGGGCTGGAATAGTGGTGGAGGACACAAAACAAGCCTTTTCCTCAGCAAACAATGAAAGGATTGGGAGGATGAAGGATCTGCACAGTGCTGCTTTATCTTTAAGCTGCTTGTTTAGTGAAGAAGGGGGAGAAACACGTGCCAGCAAACCACCCTTTTGGCAAGTCAGAGCCTATAATTAGCTTTCACTTGGAGCTCCCATCTATCCCTAGTTGTACTATGTACAATCAAACTAATAAAGCCTGGAACCTGAGCAAACCCCAGCTGGTCTGAGCCTCCCTGAAGGTACGTTTAGTTTGGCTTCCTCGGCCCTCAGTCAGCAGGGACTAATTCTCCGGGAAGAATACCTCCTTGTCTTAACTCAAAGCTGAAGAACAACTCATCTCAGGCCTCAAGCAGCCAGCAACTGGAGAGAGAGGAATCTGACGCAACCTGTTCCCTCAACATCAGTTACTGGAAGAAAGAAAGCTCGAGTCCAGGGGTCTGTGTTCCATTCCTGACACTCCTGCGGTTTGTTGTATCAACGGCCAAAGGACAAGAAGGGACATGGAGTTGGGCCTCAGTTTCCCTCTCTGTAAAATGGGAAGATTGGGTGCCCCAATATCCCGGGATCCTGCAATACCCAGACCACTCCCCCACCCTGACTCAAGCAGGACTTCATTTAGCCATCCTAGATTAATAGCTGTGTGGCATATGGTCTTTTTAAAGAATCACTAGCTGCATTAAGCTTCTCATTGACTCAGCTTTGCCATTTGTGAAAAGGAAATGATAGATGTCAGGGACATTGTGAGAAAGGATGAGTAAATGCCTGAAAAGCATGTTGAGCATGTCTGGAGAAGGGATTGCTAAAAATATGAAACGCTGCCTCGTGGAGGAGGAGGGAGACAAATAGAGAGTTTCTGTCGTGGGGAGATGGAGTGGAGCCAGGCCCAGAGCCAAGCTGTTCATTATTGAGTTTCCCCACATGTGCCTTCCTGCCAGCCTTCTGTTAACCAAGATCTCTTCAGGGCCTTGTGCCAGATAAACCACTCTGGAAAAGGACTTCAGGGTCTAAAATGAGATGAAAGTCTCTAACCATCGCTCCAGGGCAGACTTCTCTGACTTTGAACCAGGTTCTAGACAATTCATTTCATCTCTCTCTGGGCTTCCCTTCCCACAATTCTATTCATAGAATCATAGAACCTCAGAGACCATGCCATTAAACCCATACCTGACCAAGAATTCCCTCTACAATATAACGAACCAGTGGTTTTCCAGACTCTGCCCATGACCTTTGAAGCCTCCTGACTGCCGCTTACTTACGGGGTGACTGAAGGCAAGGCACTAAAACTCTGTAAGCCTCTTATCGGTAAAATGCAGAGTCAGACTCGATGACCTCCAAGGTCTTTTTCAGTCCTAAATCTGTGATCCATAAAATGTATACTGCTATAATGATCTGCCCAACCCTTCCCCCATTTGTTTCTATCTTCAATGCTCCACCTAAGACACACATCTCAAGGATGTATTTGCCCTAGTATTTGTCCACTGAGTCTGGGGGGAGGTTACGGGATAATATAACAAATATGAGAAGGCAGCAGTTGTATATTTACCAGCTCTAACTCATGTATTTGTTCCAGGTGGGTGATGCTGTCTTAGACAATGCTCAGCTTATGCTACAGACTGAGAATACGCAGGCTTGTGCTGAAGATTTTAAAGAGAGGTAAGTCTCCTGTGGACCTACAGAGCCTTGTTATCCACCTCACTCTGTCCTCAGGTCTACATTTTTTTATCCTCGTCTTCAGATATTTCTTGACCAGAGCGCTAAGGGGTGCTTGGGGCTACAAGGAGAGTCACAGAATCCTGAGAAGGCAACTGTGCAACCTTTCCCTGGGCCTCAGTTAGCCAGTCAAGAAACATTCATCAAGTGCCTGCAAAGTGTCAGGCACTGTGCTAAGTGCTGGGTATACAAAGAGAGGCAAAAGACAGCTCCTGCCTCAAGGAGCTTACAGTCTGACAGGTGGAGACAACATGCAGACAACTTGGAGAGGATCCACAGGGGGCTATGGAAAGGATTCCTGTAGAAGGTGGGATTTTAGCTGAGACCCAAAGGAAGAAAAAGGAAGCCTGGAGGTGGAGATGAGAAGGAAGAACATTTCAGGCATGGGGGAGAGTCAAATGTCTGGAGCTGGGAGATGGAAGTTTTTGTGCCGGGAATAACAAGGAGGTCAGTGTCACTAGCCAGTACAGAACAGGAGGGTGTAATGTGTAGAAATACTGGAAAGGTAGGAAATGAGGGGGCTAGACTAGAAGACAGGCGCTAGGTACCATAGTGCACAGAGCGCTGGGCTTGGAATCAGGAAGACTCGTCTTTCTGAGTTCAAATCCGGCCTCAGACACTTTCTAGCTGTGTGACTCTGGGCAAGGCACTTCACCCTGTTTGCCTCAGTTTCATCATCTGTAGAATGAGCTGGAGAAGGAAATGGCAAATTGCTCCAGGATCCTAGCCAAGAAAACCCCAACTGGGGTCATGAAGAGTCAAATATTACTGAAATGTCTGAACAACAGATTAAAAGTAGAATTCCAGGCACATTTCAGCTCTTAACTAGGTTAAACATGGTACTTAATCACAGAATATCACAGCTTTAAGAAAGCTCAGGGAACACATGATCCAGTCCACATGTGAACAATAATATTGTCTCCAACCTATATAACATGCAATTATCCAGTCCAGGAAAAGTAGCAACCCACTTCCTTTTCCCATGTCCCTAAGAAGCTTATCAGTAAAAAGAGGAAGTAAGAGAGAGAGATTTCTGTAGCTATACCCAATAATTGTGTGGAGGGATTCCCTCAGCCTGAGTGTGGAGGGATTCCCTCAACCTGGGCTCACACAACCCAATTCCAAAGGTACAGGGCACCCCAGTATTCCCTTTCCTTTCCTTTCCTTTCATCTTCTTTTCTGTTTGCCCTACTTATGAATACTGTTTTGAGACTATTTTTAGGAACAAAAAAACTAAATGTTAAGAAACAAATGCTTTGTCAAAGGAACATTCAGTCATCTGATATGAGAAGTATCAATCATCCCCCACGTACAGACCCGAGAAACTGAGACACAAGAAGTTGACTGGAGTGTCAAGATTATGTGGAGGAGCAATTTTGAGGAGATCCCCAGGCCTTAGGGGACAGTAGCAACCCACAGGGTGACCCCTCTATGAAGCATCAGATGAGTGACCCCAAAGCATCATGGGCTCATAGATCTAAGGGCTGGAAGGAACCTTAGAGTTCCTCTAGTCTAACTCCTTCATTTTACAGATAAGGAAACTGAGTCCCACCAAGATTAAATGACTTGCCGAAGGCATCTGAAGCGATGACTTAAAAACAGTTCTCTTGACTAACCCTGAGCCTTCCCTCATAACCCACCACTTAGACTTTAAACTCTGAGTGGAAACCACCCTGCCAATGCAGCTAATGAGACCTCAGCTGTCACAACTGAAAGCTTAACACATCAAGGTGTGATGACAGAGCCGACTGATTCCAAGCATTCTAGAAAGCCATGCTGCTGAGGGAGGACTCTCTTGTCTGTCATGTAATTAGTGTGATGGTATCATTTATAATATGTTTTTTTTTCTTCCCTTTGGGTTGTTACCCAGCTGTGATGACTATTTCTTTGTCTGCAGATATGAAAATGAGCACCCCTTCCGAAAAGCAGCTGAAGATGAAATTAACTCCCTGTATAAAGTGATTGATGATGCTAATTTGACTAAAATGGATCTAGAGAGCCAGATTGAAAGCATGAAAGAAGAACTGACTTTTTTGTCAAGGAACCATGAAGAGGTAGGTCAGAGCTTGGGTTGTTATCTGGCTACTGATCACATGTGAAGTTAGTCAGCTTGAGGTTAATAATAAGGATGATAATAGCTTTTTAATATAAATATTTTGCAAATATTATCTCATTTTAACCACCCTGGGAGGTAGGTGCTACTAGTATCCCCATTTTAGAGATGTGGAAACTAAGGTAACCAAAGGTTAAGTGACTTGCCCAGCTAGCTTTGATTGAGATAATCAAATCACTTCAAAGATGGGGAAACGGGGCAGACAGAGGTAAAGTGAGTTACCCAGGATAATGCAACTAGTAAGTATGTAGAGTGGGATTTGAACTCAAGTCTTTCAGATTCTAGGTACAGTGTTCTATCCACTGTGCCACCTAACTGCCTCTTATAAAAGGGCCTCTGTAGACAAGTTACAACTGTATAGCTCAGAAAAATAATTGTCTAACCTGGAGGTAGGAGCTTTTAAGGTCATCTAGTTCATTCCCCTGGGCCAAATTGCATTGGATTCAAAACTACCCAGAAAGATGAATGTCTGACTGAGAGCCTGGCACATAGTAGATGCTTTATAAGTATTTGCTGACTGATTCAGTGATAGGTCTAAAGCAAGGGTGCTTAACTTTTTTGGGGTCATGAACCACTTTGGCCCAGGCTGCTGGAGTCTATGGAGCCCTTCTCACTATCATATTTTTAAATGTGCAAAATAAGATATATCAGATTACAATTATACTGAAATAGTTAACAAGATTTTATGGAAAAAAAAATTCACAGTTCTCTGTCTCTTTTTTCTCCCTCTCTGTCTTCGAATGTCTCTTGGCCTCTTGCTCTATTTCCCCATGGAGCCAAAATCTGCTTCTTTTTAAAATCTAAAACCAAAAGTGATTCCCTGAACAATGCGTAGAATCAAGGATTCCTTTTTGGGATCTAACTGTAATCCACCTAGCCACTGTTTGGGCCAGTCTTCTCTTGTTTCTGGCATCAGCAGTGATCAGAAGAGTCAGCCACTGATCCTCATAGAGTAATCATTCACAAATTCCAAAATTGTTTTAAGGACTCCTTTTTGTCAGGTCCTAAATGAGGCATCTGCTCCATCTGTTCTTTTGTGGTCATGGGGAGAAGTGCCCAGATACCAACCTAGCCATGAGCTCTCTTCTGCACTTTGTTGGGGTCCTACAGTTATGTCAGGAAAAGAAAAGGAATCCATTGCTTCAGGGCTGGATTCCACTGGTGGGATTTCATCCTGAGAGCCTTTCTAAAGTGAGTGTTGCTTTTAGGATGTGAAGGTGCTATACAAGCAGCTGGCCGGGTCAGAGCTGGAAGGAATGGATGCTCCCATTGGTACTGGCTTAGATGACATTCTGGAGACCATCAGAATTCACTGGGAGAAGGACATAGAGAAGAATCGGGCAGAAACAGGGGCATTGCTCTACGCCAAGGTGAGTGGCAGTGTCCTTGCTAGTAGTCCTGACCCCCCTCACTCCCACCTTGGGATGTTCTTACCACTGAGGAAACAAAATGAACAGAGAACATTTAAAAATGGGAAGGTTTTTCCATTCTCTCCACACCCATTCCCAAATCCCATGACTCTGAGATTTGGGGAGAAAGGAGAAGGACAGAAGAGCATGGAAAAAACAGGAGAGAAGAGTATGGGCGTGGGATGGGGGGAAGGCAGGAAAAGAAAGTAGGAGGAGTGACCAGCGTAATTTGTATCTACCAAGGAAGAGAAGCGATGTGAGGTAGTAGATAGAGAGTTGTCGTCAGAGTCAGGAAAACCTGAGTTCAAGCCCTATCTCTGACATAGCCTGGCTGGGTAACCCTGGGCAAGTCACTAATTTTTTTTTTTTTAGTGCCTCAGGCAACTCTCTATTAGTGCAGAACAGCTATTGATCTGCCTCTATAGAAGGAGTTTCATAGAATCACAGATCTAGAACTGAAAGAGACTTCAGAGACCATGAAGTCTAACCCCCTCATTTTATGGATGAGGAAAGTGAGGTCCACTGTGGTTAAATGACTTGCCCAAAGTCACGCCTGTACAAAGTACCCCAAAAGGTTCTCCACCCAAATCTATTGAGAAGTTCATAGAGGCGGTGAAAGAGAAATTTTTGGCTGCTTTTAAGTCCCTTATTTCTTTTTCTTTTTCCCCCTTAAATGTATTGATGCATTTTATTTTGTCATAGCAAATGGTCCCCAATAAACAAACAAACAAAAAAAACCCAAGCACAAAGTTTATTCCCTGAAAAGGGGTTTGTAATAATAAGAAAAACAACTAATTTTATATAGCTCTTTAAGGTTTGCTAAGGGATTTACCCATATTATTTCATTTAAGCCTACCAACAACCTTTGAGAGATAGACATAATTATTTTTATCCTCACAAGAAGTCTGGGTCTTAAAAAAGGTTAGATGACTTGACCAGAGTCACATAACTAGGAAGGGTCCAAGGCGCGATTTGAATTCAGCTCTTCCTAACTCCCAAATCCAGACTTCTTAGGTACTAGCATTGACTATTGTAATTGACTAGAGGTCTGTTGCCTCTCCAAGATGATGTTGCTACCATTTAGTATATATATGGTTGTTCCAGTGTTGCTTTCTTGCTCTGCATCACTTCATATGAGTCTACCCATCTTTGAAATCATGTTCTGAAGTCTTCATATGCATTGTTTTTTATGGCTCCATATGTGGCATAGTGAAAGAAAGCCAGGAAAACCTGAGTTCTAGTCCTACTTCTGACATACTGTCCCTGGGACCTGATCAAGTCAATTAACCTGTCAGTGTCTCCAAACAATCCTCTAAGACTATAAGCTGAAGAGAAGGGAGGCCTATGCATTGGTAGAGCAATATTCTACCAAAGATATCAAACTCACTGCCCAGGTGGCCGAGCAAAACTCCCTGGTGCAGCCTGAACTAGACTAAAATGTAATTGGGAAATGTTAAACAAAATAAATAAAAGTACAATACAACATAGATAATGTTAATTTATAGTTTTCTAAGTCAACATGTTGCCAGCAAGGATCAGTTTCTGTCTGAGCTTGACACCACTGCTCTACACCAATGAAATTGTAAGTAAAATAAGAATGTAAATATATCCCATTACATTCATGTACCATAATTTGCTCAGCTACTCCCCAGTCATTGAGCACATTTTTGTTTCCAGCTCTTTGTTATCACAGGGAATGCTATCATAAACATTTTTGGGCATGTAGATGTTTTCTTGCTATCAATAACATGCTTTGTATTTGGTTCCGGGAGTGAAATCTCTGGATCAATGGGTATGAACAATTCAGTAACTTCTTCATCATTCCGAGTTGTTGTCTCCACTCTCCCCATCCCCATCGTTTCTTTCTCTTTAGTGTCTCTGTGATTCTTCTCAAAGGACACACATCCCCACTGCCTTAACCATGCTAAACTGGCTGTCCCTTTCACCAAATGTTTGCCCTTTTCTAACGACCACATTTTCCCTATCCACTCCTACTCTGAAAGGCTGAGCCACTAAGTTGTCCTAGTTCCTAGAATCATTTTTGTTTTATCTTGTTTTAGTTTTCAGCATTCACTTTCGTAAGATTTTGAGTTTCAAATTTTTTTCCTCCCTCCTTCCTTCCTCTCCCCCCTCCTCCAAGACAGCAAGTAATATGATACAGGCTATACATGTGCAATCATATTAAACAAATTTCCACATTAGTTATGTTGTGAAAGAAGAATCAGAACAAAAGGGAAAACCTGCAAGAAAGGGGGAAAAAAGAGAAAATAGTATGCTTCAATCTGCATTCAGATTCCACAGTTCTTTCTCTGGATGTGGATAGCATTCTCCATCTTTAGTCTTTTGGAATTGTCTTAGATCATTGCATTGCTGAGAAGAGCTAAGTCTATCAAAGTTGGTCATCGCACAATGTTGCTGTTACTGTGTACAATGTTCTCCCGGTTCTGCTCACTTCACTCAGCATCAGTTCATGTAAGTCTTTCCAGGTTTTTCTGAAATCCACCTGCTCATCATTTGTTATAGTACAATGGTATTCCATTACATTCATATACCACAACTAGTTCAGCCATTCACCAGTCGGTGGGCATTCCCCCAATTTCCAATTCTTTGCCACCACAAGAAAAGCTGTTATAAATATTTTTGTACATGTGGGTCCTTTTCCCTTTTTAATGATCTCTTTGGGATTCAGACCTAGTAGTGGCATTGCTAGATCAAGGCTACGCACAGTCTTATAGCCCTTTGGCTATATGGTTCCAAATTGTTCTCCAAAATAGTTGGATCAGTTCACAACTCCACCAACAATGCATTAGTGTTCCAATTTTCCCACATCTCTATAATTGCATTTTTATCGGGAAGGTGAAGGCAGCTTCAGAAACTTTCGTTCATGAAACCTAGATGATGCAATGGATCAAGCATGGGACTTGGAGTTAGGATGAGCTGAGGTCAAATCCTCCCTCAGATACTTAGTAGCTATGTGACTGGGCAATTGACCACTTAACCACAGTTTCCTATTCTGTAAAGTGGAGATGATGATAGCACCTACTTCCTAGAGTTGTTATGAAGATCAAATAAGGTAACATATGTTAATAGCTTTACAAATGTTAAAGTGCTATATAAATTCTAGCTATTAGTACTATCCATTCAGTAAAACAATTCAGTGCTACTAGATAGGGTCTACTGGAAAGAGACCTGGATTTGAAGGCTTAAGACCTGGTTTAGAGTCTTGGCTTTGCAACTTAGCAACTCTGTGAACTTGGCACATCACCTGGCCTCAGTTTCCTTATCTGTAAGGTGGCAATAATTATACTGCACTACCTACCTCACAGCATGGTTGGGAGCAGTCAATTAAATAATCTATGCAAAGTACTTTTAAACCATAAAGCATTCGATGAATGTAAGTCTTTCTTATTCATGTTAGTTGTACGTGGGCTACAGTCTGGGGAGAGATGAAATGATAAAAAAGGCACATTCAATACCCAAAAGGAGACAATACTGTGATAGAAATATCAGATGTAAAAACCAGATACAGATTTTTATCAACAAATAGTTCTTTATGTGTATGGAGCTGGTTACTATACCCCTTCTCCACATTCTCTGAGCTTCATGGACAGCCTCCTTCTTCAGGGACCTTACTATCAGACCCACAGCCATCCCTTTGTATTATTATAATTATTTAACATTCATAGCTCATAATAAATGGGAGGGCAGGATAGGATTAAGGGAAATAGAGTTAGTTTTTCACAACATGTCTACTATGGAAGTGTTTTGCAAAGCTGCACATGTATAACCTATATTGAGTTGCTTGTCTTTTCAATGAGGGTGGGTGGGGAAGGAGAAAGGGAGAAAATCTGAAACCTAAAGTTTTAAAAACATGTATTTTTAAAAAATGTTTTCACATGCTACTGGGAAATAAGAAATACAGGAAATGGGGTACAGGAAGTCTATCCTTCCCTACAGGAAAATAGAAGGGGAAGGGGATAAGAGAAGCGGGGGGAGAGATAGAAGAGAGGACAGACTAGGGGAAGGGATATTCAGAATGCATGCCATCTTGGGGTGGGGGAAGGGGTGAGATGGGGTGAAAATTTGGAACTCAAAATCTTGTGGAAGTAAATATTGAAAACTAAAAATAAATAAATTTATATTTTAAAAAAACATAACTCATAGAATGATAGGTCATAGATTCAGAGCTAGAAGAGGTCTTACCAGTCATCTGAGACAACCCCATTATTTTACGGATGAGGAACCTGGAGAGACTAAGTGACTTGTCCAAAGTCATTCAGGTAGGAAGGGGCAAAGTCAATATTCAAACCCAGGATCTTCGACTACAAAGCCTTTACACTCTACCACTCTGCTTCCCTAGATCTAGAATGGGCCTTAGAAATAATATAATCCAGAGGTTTTAAACCTGGGTCCTTGAATTTGTATTTTTAAAAAACTATTTCGATAATTATATTGCTTCCCTGCCCTGAAATATTTTGTATTTATCATATACACATATTTATATATGTAAATAAAAATGCACGTATATAAGAGCACTTACATATGTGTACATATTTGTTGTTTTGTTGAGTCATTTCAGTCATGTTTGACTCTTCGTAATCCCACTTGGGGTTTTCTTAGCAAAGGTGCAGCAGTGGCTTTTTTTTTTTCTTTAACAGATGAGGATCCGAGGCAGACAGGATTAAGTGACTTGCTCTGAGTCACACAGTTAGTGTCCGAGGCTGGAACTCATGAAGATGAGTCTTCCTGATTCCAAGTCCAGTGCTTTTTCCACTGTATCACCTAGCTTCCCCATGTGTATATATACATGCACACATAATTATGTGTGTGTGTGTATATATATGTATATATATATATATAATTTTGATAATTGCATTTGACAGTAATATACATATATGTACATACATATATGTATATGTATACACACACACACACATATATATATATATATATATATATAT